TTTTTTTTTTTTTTTTTTTTTTTTTGCTCGATTGATATCTACCCGGTAAAGTTATAATTAACTCATATTACCTTTAAAGGTTAATATGGCCTTTTACTGGTGCGAGCAATCCACCGGTTTTTATGGCTTTTTAGAAAGGCACCCTAATAACCAACTGTCAATTTGTGCTATAACTCATTCCATTTCTTTTAAACCACACACCAAAGCACACTCCTAGCACGAGATCTATTTCTGAATTTCGTTGGTTCGTGATATACAGCTCCAGAAAATCGATTTTTTCCTTGCTTCTAAATAAAACGTCGTGACTGGTGACTGGGCGGTGTTACATGTACACTTAGGTTTGAATCCGCATTCTTTGTAACCGCTTGAGTGATAGAACGTCTGAGGTACATGTAGACGGTACGATTATACACGGGGAGATTATATTGTGACTACATGAAATAACGAATACAAGGTGTATCACTGCAACATTAAAAGACAATATATCAGTTTCTTGTACCATAACACAAGTATCTGGGTTTTGTGCTCTTTCATGTAGCGGCCTTTTCAATGCCAACGTATTTACAGAAGAGAGATATCGAGATACTTTTTCTTACATTTAAAACTATAATTAATCTAATATCCAACTCATATTTCCTCGTGGGGTGCAACTCCTGAGATGCTTTGCTATCACAATAAAACATGTGGACGATTTATTTCGTCGCACCTTTAAACTTGTTTTGACTATAATATATACGTGACCACTAATACCACAAATTAAAAAAAAAAAAAACGTGTTGGAGAGGCCATCAAGTGTTACTGTTAGCTAAATATTACGTGGCAGTGTGTATGACATAAACAAGTACAATGCAACAGTACACCACCAGAAAAGAAAATGCTACGCACTTGTATGCTATGTGTATGCTACACACGAGCAAAATTAAATACACGTCGTTCCACTCACATAACCTTGTGCATAGCACATCTTAAAGGGATAATAACTCTTCGTATGAGATCTGTATTTCGCGATAAAAACATTGTAAACAACTCATAGAAATAAAGTATATTCTGTTTTACCACGAAAACGGCAGTTATAGCTATTATTCTGATATCTGAGCTTGTCATCGGACCACCCGACCCCCACAGATGGCTATGCTCTGTTATAATCTCTTATGATTTGTGGTATAATCTCTTAAGAGATTATTACAAAAAAATCAATTTTTTTAGAAAAAAATCCCTAGGGACTAACTTTGAATGTAGAAATGGATTCATTAACCATTAGTAAGTATAAGAAAATTGTTGTTTACTCCAATTTTTTTTTTTTTTTTTTTTTTGCCAAAACGAACAGTTATTATCCCTTTAATCAAATTGATATGTCACTTGATATATGTGTCACTCATTCAACATCATTTATTTATCTATTTCAGAGTCATGTGAAAAAAAACCCAGACACTTGACACCAGACAACCATACGACATTTAGAGAGTATACTACCTAGTACGTACTTCTTTTTGTCTGAAATCAAAAATCTTAACTAAAAATTAGCAAACTGCCTCAATTTTTCCCATTTCATAATCCAAAGAAATTTCATATTTACTTCATTCACAAAATATACATTTTTCACATGACACTGTGAGACATTGGAAAAGTGGAAAAGGTGTAAATACTATAGTAAATGCATGTAGGAGTTCTAAAGGCTGATAGTTTCTTACCTGTACATGAACAATCAAGTTTTCTTTAATTTGCTTTAAAGCCATGCCTACACCATTAAATATTATCCTACAGAATTTATTTCCATCTGTAAAATGCGACATTTATGTTCTTGTATAAAACAAGCCATAGACCCCCTAGCTACTGATCTGAGCTGGGGCAGAAAAGTTCATTCTGAAATCCCAACTTCAGAATGAACTTCAGAAAAGTTCATTCTGAAGTTGGGATTTCAGGCTCGTAGCTGGGGAGGGGGGGGTAGGATGGTTCGAAGGAACCCCCCCTTTTTGCCAGGAAAAGGTCCCCTCTGGTTAAAAAAATTCATCTAGAGACATGAAGGTTTCATGGTAAGAGGTCCACTCTTTCAGAAAAAGAACCACCCCTTTGAAATTGCTGGCTACAGGCCTGGATTTGCTGTGCTTTTTGCATTCGATAACGATTACATGTGTTCAGGGGGTCCTAGGTAACATCTGAGACCAAATACTAAGGTATGCCTGAGAGCTCTTAGACCGCGACACCGCCATTGGTAAAAGAACAGACCGAGGTACAACCAAGAAACCCGAGCTTCTAGTATCAAAAAGTGGGGAAAGTCTTATATATATTGCAAATGGACATTACATAGACTTCAAACAATTGCCAGGATATTGTAGCGAGCATATCAACAGTGGAGCCCTGTCTTCTGCCCTGTGAATACTGTGAGATTTTGTTTCACTTAATGTGTCTCTTTATGCCGGTGTAACATGAAAATCTGACTCCCATGAAAATCTGACTCCCCCAGTCAAATAAAAATCAGACTCCCCTCTGACTCTCCATTGTGCATACTACAAGATAAAAGTCATATACTCAAATAAAATAAGATTTATAAAGTTTTGTGTGGGGGGGGGGGGAGTAAAAATTTCGTGGGGGGAGTCACATTTTCATAATGAAAATCTGACTGGGGAGTCACATTTTGTCGGAATCAGATTTTCATGGTACACCGGAATTAAGTCTGGTTAAAAGCCTTATGTCATAATGTGGTTAAAGAACAACTTGAGAACCTTATATGGTGAAGTATGGCTAAAATTTGCTTTTTGTTACTAAACAAAGAACAAAAAATATAACAAAACTCATTAGTATAAGTTCAAAAATCACATCAATCCACATGAGCTTTGTTAAAATTATACAAGTGGATGGTTAAAATGACATTAATTCACCTTTCAAAATTAATAAATGTGATAATTTTGGTAAGGTTGTTAGTTTAGTATGTTTCCTTGTATTCTTGTTAATCTATAAGTTAAATCAAAGGAATGGGTATTAAAAACACCACAATCTTGTAGTCACTTTGTTTTTATTGGCCATATAAGCTAGGGCATTCTACATATGAAATGAAATGAAAATTCGGAATGAGAGAGGAGAGTGCAAAGAATGACCGATCAACCCGTTACTTTTGATATTCTGGAGACAAAATTACATAATTCACTATAAACTGTACAATGTCATACTGTGAATAACACGACGCCCATTGAATGTTATTATATCTGTATTATTACTTATAAAAATTAAACATCTGCTGGTGCACAAACTACTGTTAAAGTCGGGGAACATCTCACATATTATTACGTTAATGTTCATACACGTAACTAAAAACAATGAATATACAAATAAATCCCAATACAGACTTCGAAATGTAGATATATCTGAAATATAAAGCTGAATAATCTTGAAACTACATCATCGCAATTTTTTCTTTCAGATAGAAGTAAAACTTATTGAAAGTTTTTTTTTTTTTTTTTTTTTTTTTTTTTTTCTAAAGAACAATATCACTATTTTCAGGTCGGTCACACTTTTAGAACTCAATGTTCATTTAGACAGCATCAGTGAATCATAAGCTCGCAGTTCAGAGTGTATATGTCGTCACTGTTTGCATTCACGCCAACAGTCCTCCAAAGTTTTAAAGTTATTGACATTTCCTCCACATCCCGAGTAGATAAACGCATCACACTGCCTGGACTTGCTGTTGAAGTAGTACCGAACCGCATAATCTACACACCACCCTCGTTCTTTTGGATGCTCACAAAGTGCTAAAATTTTTAAATGGGTAACTAAAAGGGTGTTTAATAGCTATATAAAACAATGAAATAAAATCTGGCTTGGCAGTCGCATTTTTAATAAAAACCAATAATAATTTTGTCCGGAGTGCCATCTGCTGGGGCTTCGCAAGTAAGCAGGGTATCTCTTATCCTTGTTCAATCTTTTTTGGCTATTTATCACATAAAAACTCTACCTAATTAGACTGTGACGTTCTGTTACATGCCCGTGCACATTATATGCAAGTACTAGTTAAAGAATATATCACCATAATATCACGCACTGTGAACTTTAATAGTGATTACGATAAAGTCTACATGTACAATGAATACAAAAGTAGTATGACCAGCACTTCTGACACTCCCATAAAATAACTTTACTTTGTTGGCCCATGAAGCAGAAATAAGTTTTAAATTATGTCTGATAAGTTGTTCTGAATTTAAATAAATGACGTAAGATGTGCTTTCTCGAAAAAAAGAAAGAATAACTTACGAATATGGCGTGGATGGCGCTGAGCACAATTGACTTTGCCCTGAACGCACGTTTCTCCTTTAGGACACTTCATCGTCTAAAAGCAAATCATTAAACACCACTGAAAACCAGTTTTCTACCAAAGTATTCATAAACAGAAACGGAAATTTAGCAAACATTTTGACAATTAGTTTATTCTGTACATTCGTATTTGTATGGATAGCGTCACCAACCGAACAGTCAAGCTGATTTAACTGATTTATAAACCAATATATTTATTTAAACAATACATATTTTAATATTATCAAAAATAAATTCATTTTGAGGAAAATATATAGATATTGAATCTTATAAAAATTTGCACAAGCAAACAAGCAGCTGATCTGATAATTGAATGATTATTTGAAAAGAAGAATGCATAGGAGTTTATATTCTAGCATTTTTCATTGTCTCTAAACTAAAAATTACATATATTTCCTAAATGAGAAATGTGCAGTTATAATTAAAGAAAACACAAATCTTTTCACCTGACATGTTGAAACACATCTTGGATAAGGAAAGGTGACACATTTCTGGCCAGCAAAGCAGGTTACAGCAGCCTGGGTATAGAAATACAGATGCTTATATGTTCGATGCACATTTTATAGCCAATACATACAAATGCCAGCATAATCAAGTTTTCTACTTATTTCATGTATTTTATTTCGTATAAAAAACTCCAAGTCCGGTGTGACAGGAATGGTAGACGACTAAGAATCATAATTCGGTCTCCATTACTTTGTCCAGGTGACATTTATCTTATATGTAGCCCCAATACTACGGCTACATGTAACCATAATCATATGAGATCCTGGACTTCCATTCCTAGGACTACTACCATTCCTGTCACCGATCTCTGCAACAATCTGGTTCTCATTTCGAAGACATTGGCGTGGTCTCAAGAATAGTGTGGTACACTTCCACAATAAAAAGAGTTGAGATTTGGCCTAGATTATACCAGATTATACCAGAGATAAAACTAATGATGTATTATAAACGATACCATCAACATTTAAGGTAATTATCCCAACAATGACTAAAAAAGCAAATAATTCGGAAACTCATCAGGAACGTGTAACAGACTTTTTGGACAACAGCGTTTGTAGAAACAAAAAGCGACCAAGATATTGACAGCTACTGCACTGAAAGATAATGTGCACTAGACCATGTGGACAGACTGAACCGGTTCGCCTTTTGCCATAATTGCTCTATGTCAAGTTGACTTGGAAATCAAACCAACCACACCAAATATTCATGTACCATACAGTATAAGGTCAAATGCCTCAGCTATGGTACTACACAGCCAAGCGTACGACTAGCTCATGGACACAAGAAGATTCACAAAAACAAAAAAAATACCAAAACAAGCACTTGTTAATACTTACACAACCAGCAGGCAGTACCTGTAAAGAGAAACAAGAACAACATAACGATAACAATTGGCGATAAATTCAGCTGACGTGTTTCGAACTGTGTGTTGTAATCGACGTTCGGTTTTAAACCTTTTTTTACCCCACCGCCTTTAAGAACAATGCAAAAATCGAAATATGAAAAACCCAAGCTACCTCTTTGCTCTGCATTTTATAGTAAAATACCCTTCGTCCACTTTTTTATATTAAACAGTGTAAAATTGCATACCCCATTTCCCTCAAGTCCTGAAGATTTCTAGATATAAGGACACCAGGATCAAATCAAAACACCGGATAGATTTTTATTTTTTATGTTCTTTCAGTATTCATTTTTGCTCGATTTATATCTAAATTCATGATAAACTTCTCTTTCCTTTAGAGGTTAATATGGTCGCTTACTGCTGCGAGCAATCCACCAATTTTATCGCGTTTTAGAAAGTCTCCATTATTGCTGAGTTTAAATTTCTCCTATAACCCGTTTTTTTAAACCACACACCAAAACACACACCTAGCACGAGATCTATTTTTGGCTTTAGTTTGGTTCGTGTTATACAGCTTCGAACACTCGATTAGTGTTTTTTCTTCTAAATAAAACGTCGCTACTGGGCAGTGTCACATGTACACGAAGGTTGATCTTTGATCTTTCACTACTTCTTTTTGGGATGCCCCAAGGCAGTGTCCTTGGGCCATTTTTGTTTTGCATTTATACCCTGCCACTTGGTGCTGTCTTACGTCATCACAAACTTGGATACCCCATGTACGCTGATGATACTCGGATCTATAGGCCTACTTGCTGTGACATACAATATCCTAAACCCTCTTTGGATACATTTACCAACTGTATGGCTGATATTTGCGCCTGGCTCATCAACAACAAATTGAAACTAGAAAAGCATTCAGAAAGCGCAGACCTCCGCCAAGGTAGCAAAGTATCCATCCAATGCCGTTTCATCCCTATGATTTTCGATATTTATGATTATTGATTATTGATTGATAATTAATCGGGATCACCACCAAAATCTAATCATCTGTTCCTTGGCCCACTTCGGACAGTTCCTGAAAATTTCATCAAAATCGGTCCATAACTTTGTTTTTTAGATTATTGATTGATTATTGATCAGGAGCACCACCAAAAACTAATCATCTCTTCCTTGGCCCACTTCTGACAGTTTCTGAAAACTTCATCAAAATCGGTTCACAACTTTTTGAGTTATGTTGATGACAGACAGACAGAAAGACAAACAGAAACAGGGGTGAAAACATAACCTCCTTGGCGGAGGTAAAAAACTGCAGCTAATTCAGAATATTTCGACCGTCTTTAATCCACACAGCCAGGGAGACTCATATCACACCCATTTTAAAGCAGTTGCATTGGATCCCTGTTAGAGCATGCATTTTATTAATTTTTTTTAAACTTTTATGCATGCAATTTTCTACCAATACGCACACCCGTACCTACAAAAACTAGTTCATCATTATGCAACAAAATGTAGTTTAAGATCGCTTGACCAATTTGAGCTCATGCAATTTGATGCCAGAACTGGAAATCAGTTAGAGACCTTTCATTTACCCAATCACTCTTTTAAGCAGCAATTACATCAAAATCGTGAAGCTGCACAATTTATCTCAACACTAGAATTAAAGTGTACAAGTGCGCGCGAGAGAGAGTCATACCTTTCCCTGCGCCGTGCAAATAATCAGCAAAACAAAACCAAGTATTACGGTTGCTATCATCTTGAATTTCCCCTTTATAAGTGTACGTAGACAATATTCTTCTGCTTTTTGTGCTGATAACACTTTTGGCTTTATTTATATAAAACGCCCCATGGCTTATTCACATGACAGGCTAAGGACCGGATCGGTTGCATCGTCAGGTGATCTTCTTTTTTTACTTGTTACAGAGCTAGAGTGCAATTCCTCTTTTGTTATCATAATAAAACGCGGGCAATTGATTTCGTCGCACCTTAAAACTTGTTTTGACTATTTACGTAACAACTAATATCACAAAAAAAAACATGAAACGATATTTAAATTGTGCTGACAATGATAGATCAAACCTGTAAAACCTGTTCCCGAAAAAAGTATACTGCTTAAACAAGTTTGACTTGAGGAAGCATGCGACAAATACATAGTCAGAAGTAGAACCAGGGAGAGGCAGGTGTCTCGATTTTTCTCTAAGCCCCAAGATACCCTTTTATACCCCACCGCCTTTAAAAACAGTGCAAAAATCGAAATATGAAAAATATCAAGCTACCTCTTTGCTCTGCATTTTATATTAAAATACCCTTCGTCCACTTTTTTTATATCAAACAGTGTAAAATCGCATACCCCATTTTCCCTCAAGTCCTGAAGATTTCTAGGTATAAGGACACCGGGATCGAATCAAAACACCGGATAGATTTTCATTTTTTATGTTCTTTCAATATTCATTTTTGCTCGATTGATATCTAAATTTATGATAAACTTCTCTTTCCTTTAAAGGTTAATATGGTCTCTTACTGCTGCGAGCAATCCACCAATTTTATCGCGTTTTAGAAAGTCTCCATTATTGCTGAGTTTAAATTTCTCTTATAACCCGTTTTTTTAAACTTCACACCAAAACACACACCTAGAACGAGATCTGTTTTTTGGATTTAGTTTGGTTCGTGCTATACAGCTTCGAAAACTCGATTAGTGTTTTTTCTTCTAAATGAAACGTTGCGACTGGGCAGTGTCATATGTACGCGAAGGTTGATTTTGATCTTTCACTACTTGTTTTTGGGATGCCCCAAGGCAGTGTCCTTGGGCCATTTTTGTTTTGCATTTATACCCTGCCACTTGGTGCTGTCTTACGTCATCACAAACTTGGATACCCCATGTACGCTGATGATACTCGGATCTATAGGCCTACTTGCTGTGACATACAATATCCTAAACCCTCTTTGGATACATTTACCAACTGTGTGGCTGATATTCGCGCCTGGCTCATCAACAACAAATTGAAACTAGAAAAGCATTCAGAAAGCGCAGACTTCCGCCAAGGTAGCAAAGTATCCATCCAATGCCGTTTAACCCCTATGTTTTTTCAATATTTATGATTATTGATTGATTATTGATCCGTATCACCACCAAAAACTAATCATCTGTTCCTTGGCCAACTTCGGACAATTCCTGACAATTTCATCAAAATCGGTCCATAACTTAGTTTTTTATTATTGATTGATTATTGATCAGGAGCACCACCAAAAACTAATCATCTCTTCCTTGGCCCACTTCTGACAGTTTCTGAAAACTTCATCAAAATCGGTTCGCAACTTTTTGAGTTATGTTGATGACAGACAGACAGAAAGACAAACAGAAACAGGGGTGAAAACATAACCTCCTTGGCGGTGGTAAAAAACTGCAGCAAATTCAGAATATTTCATCCCGTCTTTAATCCACACAGCCAGGGAGACTCATATCACACCCATTTTAAAGCAGTTGCATTGGATCCCTGTTAGAGCATGCATTTTATTAATTTTTTTAAAAACTTTTATGCATGCAATTTTCTACCAATACGCACACCCGTACCTACAAAAACTAGTTCATCATTATGCAACAAAATGTAGTTTAAGATCGCTTGACCAATTTGAGCTGATGCCATTTGATGCCAGAACTGGAAAGCAATTAGAGACCTTTCATTTACCCAATCACTCTTTTAAGCAGCAATTACATCAAAATCGTGAAGCTGCACAATATATCTCAACATTAAAATTAAAGTGTACAAGTGCACGCGAGAGAGAGTCATACCTTTCCCTGCGCCGTGCAAATAATCAGCAAAACAAAACCAAGTGTTACGGTTGCTGTCATCTTGAATTTCCCCTTTATAAGTGTACGTAGACAATATTCTTCTGCTTTATGTGCTGATAACACTTTTGGCTTTATTTATATAAAACGCCCCATGGCTTATTCACATGACAGGCTAAGGACCGGATCGGTTGCATCGTCACGTGATCTTCTTTTTTTACTTGTTACAGAGCTAGAGTGCAATTCCTCTTTTGTTATCATAATAAAACGCGGGCGATTGATTTCGTCGCACCTTAAAACTTGTTTTGACTATTTACGTAACAACTAATATCACAAAAAAAAAAACATGGAACGATATTTAAATTGTGCTGACAATGATACATCAAACCTGTAAAACCTGTTCCCGAAAAAAGTATACTGCTTAAACAAGTTTGACTTGAGAAAGCATGCGACAAATACATAGTCAGAAGTAGAACCAGGGAGAGGCAGGTGTCTCGATTTTTCTCTAAGCCCCAAGATACCCTTTTATACCCCCACCGCCTTTAAAAACAGTGCAAAAATCGAAATATGAAAAAAATCAAGCTACCACTTTGCTCTGCATTTTATAGTAAAATACCCTTCGTCCACTTTTTTATATTAAACAGTGTAAAATCGCATACCCCATTTTCCCTCAAGTCATGAAGATTTCTAGATATAAGGACACCGGGATCGAATCAAAACACTGGATAGATTTTCATTTTTTATGTTCTTTCAATATTCATTTTTGCTCGATTGATATCTAAATTTATGATAAACTTCTCTTTCCTTTAAAGGTTAATATGGTCTCTTACTGCTGCGAGCAATCCACCAATTTTATCGCGTTTTAGAAAGTCTCCATTATTGCTGAGTTTAAATTTCTCTTATAACCCGTTTTTTTTTTAACCACACACCTAAACACACACCTATTACGAGATCTATTTTTGGATTTAGTTTGGTTCGTGTTATACAGCTTCGAAAACTCGATTAATGTTTTTTCTTCTAAATGAAACGTCGCTACTGGGCAGTGTCACATTTACACGAAGGTTGATTTTGATCTTTCACTACTTGTTTCTGGGATGCCCCAAGGCAGTGTCCTTGGGCCATTTTTGTTTTGCATTTATACCCTGCCACTTGGTGCTGTCTTACGTCATCACAAACTTGGATACCCCATGTACGCTGTTTATACTCGGATCTATAGGTCTACTTGCTGTGATATACAGTATCCTAAACCCTCTTTGGATAAATTTACCAACTGTGTGGCTGATGTTCGCGCCTGGCTCATCAACAACAAATTGAAACTAGAAAAACATTCAAAAAGCGCAGACCTCCGCCAAGGTAGCAAAGTATCCATCCAATGCCGTTACACCCCTATGATTTTCGATATTTATGATTATTGATTGATTATTGATCCGGAGCACCACCAAAAACTATTCATCTCTTCCTTGGTCCACTTCTGACAGTTTCTGAAAACTTCATCAAAATCGGTTCGCAACTTTTTGAGTTATGTTGATGACAGACAGACAGACAGAAAGACAATTAGAAACAGGGGTGAAAACATAACCTCATTGGCGAAGGTAAAAAACTGCAGCAAATTCAGAATATTTCGCCCGTCTTTAATCCACACAGCCAGGGAGACTCATATCACACCCATTTTAAAGCAGTTGCATTGGATCCCTGTTAGAGCATGCATTTTATTAATTTTTTTAAAAACTTTTATGCATGCAATTTTCTACCAATACGCACACCCGTACCTACAAAAACTAGTTCATCATTATGCAACAAAATGTAGTTTAAGATCGCTTGACCAATTTGAGCTGATGCCATTTGATGCCAGAACTGGAAAACAATTAGAGACCTTTCATTTACCCAATCACTCTTTTAAGCAGCAATTACATCAAAATCGTGAAGCTGCACAATATATCTCAACATTAAAATTAAAGTGTACAAGTGCACGCGAGAGAGAGTCATACCTTTCCCTGCGCCGTGCAAATAATCAGCAAAACAAAACCAAGTGTTACGGTTGCTGTCATCTTGAATTTCCCCTTTATAAGTGTACGTAGACAATATTCTTCTGCTTTATGTGCTGATAACACTTTTGGCTTTATTTATATAAAACGCCCCATGGCTTATTCACATGACAGGCTAAGGACCGGATCGGTTGCATCGTCACGTGATCTTCTTTTTTTACTTGTTACAGAGCTAGAGTGCAATTCCTCTTTTGTTATCATAATAAAACGCGGGCGATTGATTTCGTCGCACCTTAAAACTTGTTTTGACTATTTACGTAACAACTAATATCACAAAAAAAACATGGAACGATATTTAAATTGTGCTGACAATGATAGATCAAACCTGTAAAACCTGTTCCCGAAAAAAGTATACTGCTTTTAAACAAGTTTGACTTGAGGAAGCATGCGACAAATACATAGTCAGAAGTAGAACCAGGGAGAGGCAGGTGTCTCGATTTTTCTCTAAGCCCCAAGATACCCTTTTATACCCCACCGCCTTTAAAAACAGTGCAAAAATCGAAATATGAAAAATATCAAGCTACCTCTTTGCTCTGCATTTTATATTAAAATACCCTTCGTCCACTTTTTTTATATCAAACAGTGTAAAATCGCATACCCCATTTTCCCTCAAGTCCTGAAGATTTCTAGGTATAAGGACACCGGGATCGAATCAAAACACCGGATAGATTTTCATTTTTTTATGGTCTTTCAATATTCATTTTTGCTCGATTGATATCTAAATTTATGATAAACTTCTCTTTCCTTTAAAGGTCAATATGGTCTCTTACTGCTGCGAGCAATCCACCAATTTTATCGCGTTTAAGAAAGTCTCCATTATTGCTGAGTTTAAATTTCTCTTATAACCCGTTTTTTTTTTAACCACACACCTAAACACACACCTATTACGAGATCTATTTTTGGATTTAGTTTGGTTCGTGTTATACAGCTTCGAAAACTCGATTAATGTTTTTTCTTCTAAATGAAACGTCGCTACTGGACAGTGTCACATGTACACGAAGGTTGATTTTGATCTTTCACTACTTGTTTTTGGGATGCCCCAAGGCAGTGTCCTTGGGCCATTTTTGTTTTCCATTTATACGCTGCCACTTGGTGCTGTCTTACGTCATCACAAACTTGGATACCCCATGTACGCTGATTATACTCGGATCTATAGGCCTACTTGCTGTGACATACAGTATCCTAAACCCTCTTTGGATAAATTAACCAACTGTGTGGCTGATGTTAGCGCCTGGCTCATCAACAACAAATTGAAACTAGAAAAACATTCAGAAAGCGCAGACCTCCGCCAAGGTAGCAAAGTATCCATCCAATGCCGTTTCATCCCTATGATTTTCGATATTTATGATTATTGATTATTGATTGATAATTAATCGGGATCACCACCAAAATCTAATCATCTGTTCCTTGGCCCACTTCGGACAGTTCCTGAAAATTTCATCAAAATCGGTCCATAACTTTGTTTTTTAGATTATTGATTGATTATTGATCAGGAGCACCACCAAAAACTAATCATCTCTTCCTTGGCCCACTTCTGACAGTTTCTGAAAACTTCATCAAAATCGGTTCACAACTTTTTGAGTTATGTTGATGACAGACAGACAGAAAGACAAACAGAAACAGGGGTGAAAACATAACCTCCTTGGCGGAGGTAAAAAACTGCAGCTAATTCAGAATATTTCGACCGTCTTTAATCCACACAGCCAGGGAGACTCATATCACACCCATTTTAAAGCAGTTGCATTGGATCCCTGTTAGAGCATGCATTTTATTAATTTTTTTTAAACNGCCGGAGGTAACAAACTGCAGCAAATTCAGAATATTTCATCCCGTCTTTAATCCGCACAGCCAGGGAGACTCATATCACACCCATTTTAAAGCAGTTGCATTGGATCCCTGTTAGAGCATGCATTTTATTAATTTTTTTAACTTTTATGCATGCAATGTTCTACCAATACGCACACCCGTACCTACAAAAACTAGTTCATCATTATGCAACAAAATGTAGTTTAAGATCGCTTGACCAATTTGAGCTCATGCCATTTGATGCCAGAACTGGAAAACAATTAGAGACCTTTCATTTACCCAATCACTCTTTTAAGCAGCAATTATTTGTCGTATTGACATGGTGATATTACAGTGGCTGATTTAGAGGGGGGTGGCATGGGAGGGGTCCTGGCCCACCTCCCTTCGATTTCTGGTCCCCTCTTGAAATTAGTATTTTGACTAGCTGAATCATAGTACTAAACCGTACCAAATGGCACCGTTCGCCCTCTAAAGTGCTAAATTTTTTTCGGGGTCCTTCAGCGGGCCCCGAACCCACGCCAAATGGGGAGGGGGGGGCTTTGCAACTGCAGACCCCCCCCCTTCAAGTAGTCCGTGATCCGCCCCTGTATTATATGTGTCATTTCCAAACTAAACTGTTGACTCAAAGACTTTGTATTTTATTTTCAGATCATGCAGAAAAATATAAGAAAATCTAAAAAAGGTAAAGTATAATGAAGAGTCAATAAAGCACGGCATACAACAATACAGATCCACCACTGATGGATATAGAAAAACTGCATGAAAATTTGACATTCCATGTTCAACATTACGAGATTATATTAAGAAAGTGCCTGAGTGGGAGTGCTTTTACTAAAGGAAATTATGAAAGTGAAGATGAATGTGTTTGCTTAGACCCCATTCCCAGAGATAAGATCGATCCAACTAGATCGACCTAACTCCCTGGGGGTTCACGCTAAATAGCTGTCAGCCGAGCGCGCACGGTAGTTAATTACCCCCTTACAGCTTTTAGTAGGCGGGACGGACATTTAAGCCGGATTATCTGACAGTAATCTAGTGAGACTCCCCACCGGGATAGATCGATCTAAAATCTATGGGAATGCGTCCTTAGTTTGCCTGGAGCCCTGGTCAAACAGTAAAGCACATGAAAAGTGGATTGCATTTTGTGCATATGATATGTGGGCCCACGAGGAGTGTACAGACTCTCTTGGCCAGCCTGACTTTACGTACGTTTGTCACAACAGTAACTCTGATTAATGTAGATGATTTGTTGTTGATAATTTAATAAACATTTTGATATTTTGGTTACAACTTCTGTGTTTTCATTGGTGCTGTCGTCTTTAACATAAGTTTTATTTTTGAAAAGTTACCATAGGCAAACAATAGTTAGGAGTCGTTAAAGATTGACTGCTTAAAAGGATAACAACTGTTCATTTTGGTAAAAAAATAAAAAAAAAGGAATTTTCCTGGGGTAAACAGCAATTTCCCCATACTTACCGATGGTTAATGAATTCATTTCTACATTCAAAGTTAGTCCCTTTTTTCATATATATATATATATATATATATTTTTTTTTTGTAATAACATCTTAAGACATTACTATAGAGTATAGCCATCTATGGAGGTCACGTGGTTGAATGACAAGCACAGATTTCAGATTTACTGCCATAACTGTCATTTATGTCTCCTCCATCCCAGTGCATCACAAACTTGCATATTCCCGTTCATAGCAAAAGAGAATGCAACAAAGACTATCGGGTGTTCGTGATTTGGCCAAACAAGGCCGCTTTTATTAAATAAACTCACTATCCTAATAATTTTAACAATAATAACAATGTGGCAAATTGTTGCCTGCATTAAATGTTATGGCCTTAGGGATAAAAATTAAATATGAAATATTAACTAAGACTCATCATCCTAAAAATAATGATGAGACGAGTCAGCAAAAGTTATCATTTTCAAGAAATTTTGCACAAATTTCGTTTGTGGGGTTGCAAAGAGGCCCCCACCATGCAACAGTTATCGTAAGCTGTGGTCCATGATAAGCAATTATTTGACAACGGTAGTGCATCTTATTTAGCTTGTCTGATTCCAAAGGCAAGGTCAATGCATTGCAGGACTTTCAATACAATTCTACGTATGTACCGGCATGACAATGCTGTTAGCGGGTGGCCGAACCGAATGATACATAATGATACATACTAAACCCCCTTTTCACTGAACCGCGTCCTTGCTGCGTCCATTGTGCGATCGTGAAACTGGCATCGCTGTGGTCATACAAAGGAGGCACAAGCATCGCTTTGGCTGCAGAATGAATGCTCAATGATTGGTCAGTTGTCGGCACGTAAAGATTATTTTTTACTCTTAAACGGGGCCGTAATACGGACGCAGAAAGGACGCCGTCCAGTGTTAAAGAGTCTTAAATCATTTATCTTGAATTAACAATGTCTGACAACATAATCACCTTTTGAAATTTTCTGCTCATTAGTTGACAGGAAGGGGGGAAATAATGCCATTAAGCTTTAACATTCAGTGACAAAATAAATCCAGAAAGGTTAAAATAGTTCTTACATGTAAGTACACTGTGTAATAGTCCTGAATAATACAAAACAAGCTCTTCAGCATAAATAAACCCAAGGCAAAGCCATTAACCCCAGTCACTCACCATTATCCCAGGACCAGCTGTATGGCTCTGTCCTGTTCCACATGGCTCCTATCCAGTAGTTGTTGGCATATTCCTTCCTCTTATACACATTCTCCACATTCAGCAGAACAGACCTCAGGAATTCCATCGTAGCTTGGTTTTCAACGTGGGCAAGACGAGCCCCTCTCGAAGTACAGAACGTCCTGGCCATGTCCCAGGTAAACCCGTGCTTTCTTGATGAATAAGGTCGAAGTTCCAAACAGTAGCAGGAACCATTGAAATGGTGACCGTAGCTACACTTTGTTGTATCCGGGCATTTGTCAACATTGGCTTAAAAGGACAAAAAAAAAAATTTACTAGGTCATTTATCTAAAAGACAAATTTCATAACTTAGACTTGAGACCCGAAATTCAGCGTCATTACATATCAGGCAGGTCCACAAATATACGATTGATCCTCTTTTAAATCTTAATCTTGTATGATTTTGCAAGCAAATGTGTCGCCACAGATTCTATAATTCTTAGGTCCTGGCCCTGCTTTTTTTTTTTTTTTTTTTTACATCACGCTTATTAAGATTGTCGTCTGAAATACCATATTAACTCGAAAACTGTTCATTCTTACTAAATTCACAAACAGCAGACGACTTTTCCCAGTGTCCTTCTCGTACTCTGTGAACGCCGAGCTTGTTTGCTTCTTCGTCATTCCAATCGTAACGAAATTGCCGCCAGAGCATCACGCGGTCCTCCACGTGACCGTTGTTGTTCGGTTCGTTTGGTCCCCAGGACGTCCACTGCAGCTCCTGGCCGCCTTGAATGAAATATTTTCACAGACAAGATATACACTGTATTTTCCAGTGTGACAGGAATGGAAGTCCGGGTCCCATATGATGAGTACAGGTTAGGGTTAGTTGGAGTACTGGGGTTAGTATACTGGACGAATGTCACTTGTACAAAGTAATAGGAAGCGAACTACGGTTCCTAGCGGACTACCATTCATGTCACACCGGTTCTCGTTAATTTATTACATTTTTGTAGATATTACGGCTATTATAGAGTAAACAGTTATTGTTATATACATGAAGGTGTGTGTCATATTTATAATTTGAACCTCATTCGTGCAATTTTGATTTCAGCCTTGTTCTACACGCACCGCTATGCAGTACTTACAATTCTGGAAACCATTTAAATTATTTGAAATAAAATAAAAGGGACTGTTATAAGCTGTACGATTATTTTACTGAAAACCGACGTTTTCCATAAAATACGTGATGGTACCTGTAGGGGCGCATTCAATTCTCAGGAAGGTTCTTATACAATTATCTACTTACTGTCTGCCCAAAACCATCTCTTCTTTGAATATGCACCAATCCAGAAGTCCTGTGTATAGTTCTTAAGAACATTTCTGACACTTTGATCCATTTCTCTGTTTTCTATGGCAGCCANCTTTCCTTTTTGTAGTGAAATAGATATATTATAGTTATTTGAGTTGTTTACAATGTATTTATTGTGAAATATAGGTATCATACGAAGAGTTGTTTTCCTTTTTGCTGCTGTTACTCGGTCTTACTGATTAAAATGCACAAAATTGGACAAAAGCACATTTTTTTTCTTGGATTCTAGTATGTGTGTGGACTTGCCCCTGGGTGGGGCAAGTTGGCACACTTGGACTAGACTTTTTTAAACTTAATTTACTCTCATATAATTTACAGTGGACGCCTGATACTTATCCAAAATAAAGGCATTTAAATAACCCTCCTGACAAATATCTAGGATCCTGACGATAATAGTATATATATATGTCTCTCATGCCAATTTTCATGTAAATGGTGCGGACTAGCCCCACCCTCCCCTATTATTATTTATTATGAGTGCTCCAGCACAACGTACAGTGGAAAAAGTGTAAATTTCAGTAAATGCATGTAGGAGTTCTCAATGCTGATAATTTCTCACATGTACTAGTAAGTTCTCTTCAATTTGCTTTAAACCTATGCCTTAACCGTTAAATACTATCCTGCAGAGTTTATTTTTCATCTGTAACATGCTACCTACATGTTCTCGTATAAAACATAAGCCATGGACCCCCAGTACTGATCTGAGCTAGGGCAGGAAAGTTCATTCTGATGTTTAGATTTCAGGCCCGTATCCGGGGGGGGGGGGGGGGGGGGGTTCGAAAGAACCCCCTTTTTTGCCAGGAAAAGGTCCCCTCTGGTTAAAATTTCATCTAGAGACATGAAAGTTTCATGGTAAGAGGTTCACTTTTTCAGAAAAAGTACCACCCTTTTGAAATTGCTGGCTACAGGCCTGGATTTGCTGTGCCTTTTGCATTCGATAACGATTACAAGTGTTCAGGGGGTCCTAGGTAACATCTGAGACCAAATACTAACTTATGCCTGAGAGCTGTTAGACCGCGACACTACCAGAGGTAAGAGAACAGACGGAGGTACTACCAAGAAAACCCATGTTAGAAAAAGATGGCCGACGAGCTGGAGCCAGGCACCCTCTCTAGGATTACCCCTGAGCCAGGGGTGTGATAGCTCGCAAAAGTTACCGTCAGTCAAGGGATGTATGGGGTGAGTTACGATGACATGAATAGACCGTGCACCGATATGCGTGCCTGATTTTGAAAACTGTGTAACAAAGGTGCTTTTTTGACGGCTTTTGTACTGCAGTATATATAACATTCCAAGTACAGATTGAACTAAGCATGAGTAACTGTATTGTTCATGAACAAAGGTAAATGGAAGTGAAATATTGCGTAACACTATAAGTGCCCTGATCAGTGAACACCAGTGAATTTCTGCCTCATTATCCATCCTACCTGCACTTACTATTAATGTGTACAGTGTATGGTTCATCGCCCCATGATGAATGGAACTAAAGAAACAAATGAGCGTAATGACTCGAAAACATCTCAGTCAACGAAAACACTTCACTCGGAACTCTCAAACTCCAGTGACGATGAATCTCAACTCATTATGCAAGAAATGCTAGAAATTAAAACTGAATTAAAACAAATAATAAAAGATGAGGTGGGCGAAATAAAAGCTATGGTAGACGTAATGGTTAAAGATTTGAAAGAAGCCATGGAAAAGCGGTTTTTAGAAATGGAAATGAAATTCGACGTGAGATTCGGAAGACTGAAAGAGGGATATGATCACCTGTCAACTGAAAACAAATTATTGAAAGAGCAGATTATGGACAATAAAAGAGAAATTACAAGATTAGCAAAAATAGCAGAGGAAGCTGGCAACATGTCCAGAGAAGCTCAAATCAATGCTAACTATAATGAGCAATACTCCCGGAAAAACAACATCAAGATCTACGAAGTGAAAGAGGAGAAAAATGAAGACATGGTCGGCATGGTGTCCAAACTGGTACAATAGGAAACTGGTGTACGGGTGACCAGTGAAGAGATCGTTGCCGTGCACAGGATACCTGGAAAGCGAGGACAGGAAAGACCAATATTACTGAAAGTTAAGAACACTGATGTGAAAGCACGGATTATGAAAAAGCGTGCAGTACTCAGGAAATAGGGAAAGAATATGAAACTTTCAGACGATGTAACCAAACGTAACATTGAGCTTTTACACAGACTAAATGAGAGTCAGCTAACATATAATCTCGTTAATGCTCATACATGTAACGAAAAATAACAATTATACAAATAAATCCCAATACAGACTTCGAAATGCATAAAAGGGTAACATTTAGATATATCTGAAATAAAAAACTGAACAACCTTTAAACTACGTCATCGCATTTTTCTATCGGATAGACGTAAAACTATTTAAGTTCAGAGTGTATAGTCGGTCTGCAGTGTCAATTTGTCCTTACACGAGGCATTTAGCTTCACAGTCTTCCAAAGTTCTAAAAAATGGAATATTTCCTTGACATCCCTTGTAGATAAACAGCTCACACTGCCTTGTCGCGACGTGGAAGAAGTACATAGGGAGGTGTAATCCACAGTCCAGGGCTATAGGTTGAATCAGGCAGATTGCTAAAAAAAATTAAATGGGAAATTGAAATGGTGATTTATAGCTATGCAAAACAATAGAATAAAGTCTGAATTGCCAGTCGCATTTTTTATGAATACCGATAACAATTTTGTCCGGAGCGCCAATTACCGAATACCGATAACAATTTTGTCCGGAGCGCCATCTACTTACATAATTCACTATAACCTATACAATGTCATTCGTGAATAATACAACGCCCTTGGACGTTATTATAAGTTAATATATCAAAACTTCAAAGAATTAAGCATCTGCTGGTGCACGAACTACTGTTAAGGTCGGGGAACACCCGACATTACGCAATTACGTTAATGTTCATACACGTAACTAAAAACAATAATTACACAAATGCATTACAGGGTAACAATCAGATATATCTGAAATATAAAGCTGAACAATCTTAAAACTATGTCATCGTAAATCGTAATAAACTGTTGTTTCCGCAATTATTTTGATATGGCATACCCATGTAATAAAGGGATGATTGTTAACTTTTTTCTTGTTATTATTATTATTATCATTATTATTAATTGTGGTACACAAATGTCTAAAACGTCTTTATTTAAATGTACTTAGGATGGACGAGAACCGAGTACCAAAGGTAGATTTGAGATGGACACCACCTGGAAAAAAGAAAGAGAGGAAGGCCCAAGACCACCTGGCGCCGAACAGTGATGGCAGAGCTGAGGGAAGGGGACCTTACATGGGGACAGGCCCAGCACGTATCCAGAGACAGGGCCAAAGTATTGGGGCTTCGCAAGCAGATTGTCTCTCATCCTTGTTCGACCTAGTTTGGCAATTTGGACATGAAAACTTAACCTAATGAGACTGTGCCGTTCTGTTATATACAGGAACACATTATATGCACGTACTTGTTAAAGAATATACCACCATAATATCACGCACTATGAAATTTAATTGTGATTGTGATAAAGTCTGCATGTACAATGAAACAAAAGCAGTATGACCAGCACTTCTGTTACTCCCATAAAATAACTGTCGCCCCATGAAGCAGAAACAATTTTCAAATTGTCTGATTTTTTTTTTTCGAATTTAATATAATGAAGTGATGGAAGATGTGGTGTATTAAGAAAATGGAGACAATTACTTACGATCAATGCGTTGATCGGGCTGTGGACATGGCTCCTTTTCACAAATGACTTTGTCCTGAACGTACGTTTCTCCTTTAGGACAGTCCATCGTCTAAAAGTAAAAAATGAAACACCACTGAAAACCAGTTTTCTTCCAAGGTTTTCATAAACAGAAACGAAAATTTAGCAAACATTTTGACGATCAGTTTATTCCGTACATTCGTATAAGTAACGCCACCTACCGAACAGTCGGCCTTCTCAACTGCAACGCAGCGTGCACCGAGGGCTGTCTCAACGCATTTAGAGCCGACAGGACATGTTACAACCTGCAGTCAGTTTAAAGATTGAACTGATTTATAAACCAATATATTTATTTAAACAGTTCATATTTTAATATTATAAAAATTAATTAATTTTGAGGAAAACAGATAGATATAGAATCTTACGAAACATTTCAGAAGTAAACAAGCAGCTGTTCTGATAATTTAATGATTATTTGAAAAGAAGAATGCATAAGAGTTTATATTCTAGCATTTTTCGTTGTCTCTAAAGTAAAAGTCCATATATTTCCTAAATGAGAAATTTGTAGTTATTATTAAAGAAAACGCAAATCTTTTCACCTGACATGTTAAAACACATCTTGGAAATGGATAGGGGACGCATCTCTGGCCAGGAGGGCAGGGTACACCAAACTGGGTATAGGAATACAGATGCTTATTATATGTTCGGTGCACATTTTGTAGCCAATGAATACAAATGCCAGCATAATTAATTAAGTTTTCTACTTGTTTTATGTATCTTTATTTCGTATAACAAAATCCCAGACCGGTGTGACAGGAATGGTAGTCGGCTAGGAACCATAATTAGGTCCCCGTCACTTTGTGCAGGTGACATTCGTCTTATATATATATATATATAGCCCCAATACTAGGACCAAATGTAACCATAAACTGGGCTAATCATATGAGATCCTGGACTTCCATTCCTAGGACTACTACCATTCCTGTCACCGGTTTAAGCAAGAATCTGGTTCTCGTTTCGATGACATTGGCGTGGTCTCAAGAATAGTGTGGTACACTTCCACAATAAAAAGAGTTCAGATTTGGCCTAGATTATACCAGAGGTAAAACTAAGGAATAATTATAAAAGATACCATCAACATTTAAGGTAATTATCCCAACAATGACGAAAAAAGCAAATAATTCGGAAACTCATCAAGAAGTGTAACAGACTTTTTGGACAAGAGTGTTTGTAGAAACAAAAAGCGACCAATATATTGACAGCTACTGCACTGAGATAAAATGTGCCACTAGACCAAATAAATACACTGAAACGGATGGCATTTTAACATTCTTGCTCTATGTCAAGTTGACTTGGAAATCAAACCAACCACACCAAATATACATGTAGTCTACCATTTACGGTCAAATGCTTCAGCTAAGGCACTACACAGCCAAGCGTACGAATAGCTCATGGACACAAAAATTCACACAAACAAAAAATATCGAACAAGCACTTGTTTATACTTACACAACTACGAGGCAGTACCTGTATAGAAAAAACAAGAACAACGTAAGTGTGTGTTATAACGATAACAATTGACAATAGGAGCTCACTCGATAAATTCAGCTGACGTGTTTCGATCTTGATGTTGTTATCGACATTCGGTGTTTAAGACACAAAATTAATTTTCCTGGAAAATACATATTATGGTATACTGGTAAAATTCATTTACTTGAGAATGGCTGGTTGTTTCTTATCGATGCTCAATTTTGGGTTTGATTGTCTCCTATATTCTCGGAGATGTCATCACTTCTCAATTAAACTTCAAGCAATACATGTACACTTAAATTTGTGTTGAGTTCACTCCCGTAACAATGGAGATAAAAACTGGTGCATTTCACTTGTGACGACAACAACTAGAGATTCGGTAACTGGTTTATGGATCGAAATTTTCTCAACGATTTTATTTTGGATAGGATATACTTTGGTGAGACAAAGGAAATTTTGCTCTAATTAACACACTAGTTTTCATTTTGCTTAATGACCAGCAAGTTTGTTGTTAGGAAACCAATTTGCTTTTTGTATTACTTACAAATACTTTTTAACATCACTCTCTCAAGCCACCAAACCATCTACCCCTCCAAAGGCACAATTTTAAAGCAATAATAATAATAATAATAATAATAATAATAATAATAATAATACGGCAATATTAAGAGATATGTGTTCTTTATGATACCACCTTTTTTAAAATGATTCTTTTTGATGATGTGGCCTTCTTGATTTAAAAATCAAGAAGGCCACATCAAAAAGAATCCTATAATTTATAAAAAGATATGTTGCGCATCGTGTGTCTATCTATAATCAAAGTTGAAAACCTGACAAGTCTAGGTTTTGGAATTTAGTATGGATTATGATGGTTGTTTATATAACTGTCACGCTGCGAGACATGTCAGTTTCTTCTGAGTTTCTATCACTGACAATAGCTTAGAATTTTTTACCTTAGCTTTGGGATAAACGAACCATCGTTCAGACACAGTTAAAGAAAAAACAGTTAAGATACCACCTTTGAAATCAAGTAGGCCACATCAAAAACCATATTATGTATAAAAATGTCTGTTGCAAATAGTGTGTCTATCTATAATTAAAGTGCCGAGTGCACGTGCCGAATGAACGCAATATGTGGCAGATGTATCTCAGATAATTTCTCTGTACAGTCTGGCATTGATTAATACGCCTGTTATTACTTTTCTCCTAAATTTTCTTCTTCCAATAACAACCATTTTTAAAGTATGGGTTCGGCATTAGGAATTTATTAAACGTTATTTATTGCGTCTTTAATTCATGAGGTTGTCGTATTTTGAAATATCTTAAGACCTACCTGTATTACCGATCATGTGTTAAAGTGATTAATTGTCACCATAAGATATTATAAAAACTAAAAATTATATCTTATTCATTAATAATATTGTTTTATTAGAATAAGCTTTAAAAATTTTTTTTTTAATTATATTGTTTTTTTTTTTCCTTTTTGGCCGGCCTAAACATAACGTATCCTGGGACAGCCACCTTTCGTCTGATGGTGTTACCATTTCGTTAAAGGAGGAGAAAAACGTCCAATGACAACCATTTATAAAGTAGGGGTTCGGCATAAGGAATTTATTAAACGTTATTTATTTCGTCTTTAATTCATGAGGTTGTCGTATTTTGAAATATCTTAAGACATACCCGTATTACCGATCATGTGTTAAAGTGATTAATTGTCACCATAAGATATTATAAAATTATATTTTATTTATTAATAATATTGTTTTATTAGAATAAGCTTTAAAATTGTTTTTGTTTAATTCTATTATTTTTTTTCGTCTGATGGTGTTATCATTTCGTTAAAGGAGGAGAAAAACGCATTGTGCTACTGCAACCTCCTATGAGATTTAGATAAATCGTCTATTTGCGTCTTTGTTTTGCAGAAATATATTTTTCTTTTGTCTAAGACATGAACTGGAAAACAAGTTAAGACCTTTCATTTACCCTTTTGCCTTTTGCTCTTTCACGCGGCAATTACATCAAAATCGTGAAGCTGCACAACATATCTCAACACTAAAATTAAAGTGTACAAGCGCGCGAGAGAGAAAGACTTACCTTTCCATGGCCGTGCAAATAATCAGCAAAACAAAACCAAGTGTTGCGGTTGGTGCCATCTTGAGTTTCCTTTTATATCAGTAGGAAGACTATGTTCGTCTGCTTTTTGTGCTGATAACGCTCTTCGCTCTATTTATATATAACGCCCCATGGCTTATTCACATGACAGGCTAAGAACCGGATCGGTTGCATCATCACGTGATCTTCTTTTTTTACCTGTTACAGAGCTAGGAGTGCAATTCCTCTATTGTTGTCATAATAAAACATGTGGGCGATTAATTTCGTCGCACCTTTTAAAAAACTTGTTTTGACTATTTACAGTATGTACGTGGCCAATAATATCACAAAAAGACATGAACAATAATTGAATTGTGATGACAATAATAGATCATACCTGCAAAACCTGCTACCAAAAAAAAGTACTGCATAAACAAGTTTGACTTGAGGAAACATGCGACAAATACATAGTCAGAAGTAGAACCAGGGAGAGGCAGGTGTCTCGATTTCTCACTTAAGCTCCGAGGTACACTTTTTCACCCCACTGCCTTTACAAACAGTGCAAAAATCGAAATTTGAAAAAACCAAGCTACCTCTTTGCTTTGCATTTTAAAGTAAAATACCATTCGTCCACTTCTTCATATTAAACAGTGTAAAATCGCATACCCCACCTTCCCTTGAGTCAAGTCCTGGACCTGCCAGTTGTATGCAGGGCTGCCTTATCCTATCGTACTGAATAATGGAGGCAAAGGCGATCTTCACTTGGATCCTCAACTCTTTATTTGTTCATTTATTAATCTTTTTTATTTATTTATTTATTTATTTATTTATTTATTTGTTGTCAACTGTAAACACTGAACTAAGCAGTTGTTTTCTAATATCTATAAGATTACTAGAAAACCTCTAGATATTAGGACGAAGGGATCGAATCAGAACACCGGATAGATTTTCATTTTTTTAATGTCCTTTCATTATTCATTTTTGCTCGATTGATATCTAAATTTATGATAAACTTCTCTTGCCTTAATAGGGTGTTTTACTGGTGCGAGCAATCCAATTTTTATCTCGTTTTAGACAGTCTCCATTATTGCTAATTATTAATTTCTTTTATAACCCGTTCCATTTCTTTTAAACCACACACCAAAACACACACCTAGCACGAGATCTATTTTTGAATTTAGTTCGGTTCATGTTATAATACAGCTCCGAAAACTTGATTTGTGTTTTTTTCTTCTAAATGAAACGTCGCGACTGGGCGGTGTCATATGTACACGTAGGTTCATCTTTGATCTTTCAAAACTTGTTCCTGGGGTGCACCCAGGCAGTGTCCTTGGGCCAGTTTTGTTTTGCATTTATACCCTGCCACTTGGTGCAGTCTTACGTCATTACAAACTTGGATACCCCATGTACGCTGATGAAGCTTAGATCTATACTTGCTGTGACATACAATATCCTAAACTGTCTAGGGATAAAATTATCAACTGTGTGGCTGATATTCGCGCCTGGCTCATCAGCAACAAATTGAAAATAATGACGGAAAGACTGAGATTTTATTAACCACGCAACCTCCTAGCAAGCAATTTGCACAGAATCTATAACTTGAATTACCAGTAGACACCAGTGGTGTGGACACACTAACGCACGTGAAAAACCTGGGTGTCTACTTTGATTCCACTGTATGCAGGTGCTATTAGAAACTACTTGGATCAATCTTCTGCAGCAACAGTTATTCATGCGATGATTACCTCTCGTTTAGACTACTGCAACTCTTTATGGCTGTACTGAAGAACGAATAAAAATCTGCGGCGAATTCAAAATATTTCAGCTCGTCTTTTAACCCACACAGCCAGGGAGGCTCATATCAAACCCATTTTAAAGCAGTTGCATTGGCTTTCTGTTAGAGCATGCATCTTATTGAAAATTTTAACTTTTATGGATGCAATTCATTTACCAATACGCACCCCCATACCTACAAAAACTAGTTCATTATGCACCAAAATTTAGTTTAAGACCATTTGACCAGTTTTTGCTCATGCTCTTTGGCCCACTTCTGACAGTTCCTGAAAATTTTATTTGACTTACACTTTACTAATTGCAGATAACAATTAAATAAAACGGAGTAAAAGGATAGGGAGATATTGAGTGCAAGTTAAATTTATTTAAGAGTCAACAAGTGTAGAAATTGTTCTCGTAGTAGAAAAAGATGGAACATATCAAAGTCACATATAGTTTGATTTGATTGGTTAATTTCTCAATAGATTTGAAAGTTTCGGACACGTGTAAAACACATGTAAACTAAGGATGGATAAGGTCCAAGAATGAGTAATTCAAATGATATTTTAGATATCTTTAATTGAAAACAAGTCTCTTAGAAATTACCTAATAAGGAAATGTTAAATGGTGGTTTGCACTATGAGAACTTGTAATCACACAAGGACAATGGATAGAAAGCAAGTAAACGCATGATCAGTACGGAAAAATAGAGTTTAAATATCTGTGAAGTAGTGTGAAAATTTAGTCAGTGAATAAACGTTTGAAAGCTCCAGAAGCGTTGTTATTCTTCACTATACCAAGATGGACAAATAATTTCGTCGCACCTTAAAATTTGTTTTGACTATTTGCAATATGCACATGGCCAATAATACCACAAATTTAAAAAACGTGTAGGAAAGGACATCATGTACCATTGTTCGCTGATCTTAATGTTACTCACGCGTCAGTGTGTAAGAGATAAACAAGTACAATGCAATATATATAGGAAACCAACTGAGAAAATTCGTGTACTGATATATGCTACGCACGAGACATTTGTTTATTCAAAATTAAATACGCGCCGTTCCACTTACATAACCTTGTGCATAGCACATCTTTATCAAATTGATCTGTCACTTGATAAATGTGTCATTCATTCATTGTCACTTATTCATTTATTTCATTGTAATGTGAAAAAAAGCACCAGAAGCCCTTTGGCCTTACAAGATACAATGTACTCGGAAAGTAGACAACCTACCGGGGAAGGATTTGTTTTTGTCTTAAATCAAAAATCTTAACTTCGTTCATTCTTAGACACAAAATACACATTTTTCATATGACACTAAGATACATCAATTTCTACTGTTCTTTATTACATGAATGATTGCTCCAACACAACGTGAAGGGAAAAAGTGTAAATACCAGTAAATACATGTAGGATTTCCCACTGCTGATTATTTCTCACATGTACTGGTAAGTTCACTTTAATTTGCCATGCCTACACCGTTAAATGTTATCCTGCTGAGTATATTTCCATCCAAAATACATGGGCTCGTATAAAATATAAGCCATAAAATAAACCACCTACTGATCTGAGCTAGGGCGGGAAAGTTCATTCTGAAGTTGGGATTTCAGGCCCGTATCCGCAAGGGGGGGGGGGGTCGGGAATTCGAAAGAACCGCCCTTTTTGCCAGAAAAAGTTCCTTCTGGTTAAGATTTTATCTAGGGACATGAAGTTTTTTATGGTAAATAATAATAATAATATGTATTTGTTTGCAAATTAAAAAGTTGGATTTTACAATAAAAAAGCAAATAGACATGAGATGCACAGTCTTAAAATATACTTGTAAGTGTTAAAATGATTCGATATACATTAAAAGTTCATAAAAACCTCAGTTCTTAAAATTTGATAAAGCCCATGGGATAAAAGTTTTTAACGATCGTACAGTTCTCAATTTTGGCACAGTGTACTTATAAGCCCGGTGCAAAGTATAGGAACTTCCATTTATCTCTGGGAGCAAATGATGGATTTTGTGACCTTCAGAACACATGTTATGCAATAATGTTTTAGATAGTTCATCTCTTCTACAAGCAAGAGTGATAAGTTTACATGTTTCAAGTGCCCCATTGTAGGGCAGCTGTGGGAATATAATCTTACATGCTCTAATCTGGATGGATTCAATTTTATCAACTTGTTGTTGTGTGAGACCTGGGTGCCACACCTGACATGCATATTCTAATGTAGGTCTGATTACTGATGAGTAAAAGCTTACAAGTTCATTGGTTGGAACACCCGCTCTTTTCAGAAGCTTAAGATTGTGTAGCCTTTTACTTGCTTTTTTACAAATATCACAGACGTGATCTTCCCAGCTAAAATCACTACTGATCCTAACCCCTAAGAAGACAGCAGACCCCACTCTCTCAATCCTTTGATTATCTACTAGTAAGGGTGTAGTTTTGTGTCCTTTTTTGGGAAATCAAATATGATCTCTTTGGTCTTGGTAGTATTTATTGTTAGTTTATTAGCATGGGACCAGAGAGTGAGTTCTGTTGTTGCATCAGGGAGATTGCTCGGCAGTTTGGTATTCCCGTAGCTTAGAATTGTGGTGTCATCTACATATTTGAATGTGTCACATTTGGTGCTCAGATCGTTAATCATAATGACAAATAAAACTGGACCAAGTTTTGTGCCTTGTGGTACACCAGCATTAATGCGTTGCCAGGTCCACTTTTTCAAAAAAAAAAAAAAAAAAACTTTTGAAATTGCTGGCTACAGACCTAGATTTGCTGTGCTTTTTTGCATTTCGGCATATGATAATGATTACAAGTGTTCAGTGGGTCCTAGGTAGCATGTAAGACCAGATACTAAGGTATGTATGAGAGTTCTGAGACCGCGCCATCGCCATGCCATGTAGGCGATCTTAATTCAACAAAGGCAAAAGACAAGAATGATTGAGGTACAATTCAAGAAATCCCTTAGCTTCTGATATCCAAAAGTGGAGACTTGCCTATTGCTATTAAACATAAAATATGCTTCAAAAATTCTCAACAAATTGTAGCGAACACATCAACAGTACAGTCTTGCCAGCTGCCCTTTAAATACGGTTCTAAAGGTGTTTAGTCTCACTGTCTGATCGGCTAGTTATTTTTGTTTATGCCGGAATTGAGTCTTGTTAAAACCTAATGTCGTAATACTGTCTAAGAACAACTTGAGAGCATGATCTTGTGAAATAAGGCAAATATTTCCTTTTTTAAGATAATTAAAACACAAAAGTTTAAAAATTCTCTATTTGTGTAACTATCACTTCAATCCACATAAGCTTTATTTGTTAAATGTTGACGTAAACCATCAGAAATCTCGCGAGATTACGCCGGTTGCTATTGACAACAACAAAGGCTGGCAAATGGCTGCCATTGAAGGAGTAAAACCAATGCGATCGGGATTATAAAGTAATTTTATAAGTATTTGCCTCCTAGTTATATATATTTAAAGAAGAAAAATGGCAACAAGGACACAGACTATACGGCGGCCCCCAGTTCAGCCGGAAAGAGTTCACGATTATTTGTACGGTAAGAGTAAATTTATTACGTGGGCTGCTCTCCTGAGTCCTGTGCCCAACATCGCTCTTTTTGAGAAACAGTACTTACCATCAAAAACTTAAAAGATGTTGATTAAAGGCCATTGGTGGTTAGATGTATGGGTTATATGAACGATAAAATTTATTGAATATAGAGATAAAAAGCACACGTATTATACATAAAATATACTAAGAGTCAGCATGAGTGTGTGTATGTTTGACAGACAGAGAGAGATGTAATGCCTCTCAGAAGAGTATAATATTAGATTTTGTTCGGGCATGTAGCTTATTGTTTGTCTTTGCTGTAGATAACCACTATGTATTGGCCAGCGAGAGGGACCATGCCAGGGCCACATTCAAGGCTCATACAAATATTGACCGTGTTGTAAGTATTCTTTTTCCCCATCATGTCATCAAACAGTCTTGTCAATATTAGGTAGCTGAAAGACATTTTACATTAATCCCACAAAATCATGCTTAAAAAACACAAAATGATGCATAAGGAAATCATTGTCAGTGAGAATTGATTTTTTAAAAAAAATTAACATCCTTTTGTGCATCTCTGCAATGAGCTACCCGTACCTAGAATAGCTGCTCTCCATTCCTAAGTTTTTCATATGATCTGAATTTATATCAGATATTTGATATCAGATCCTTTTTCTACATTACAGAAACGGGTGCCCAACTTTCCCACAATGTTTAGTGAGTTGCGGCACCACCCAAGGTTCCAGATGCGCCTGGATGTCACCGACCCAGTGCCCAGGTTTATATCTCGACAGTGGAGAGGGTATGCTGACCAAGCAAGGGAAGCTCTTATTAGATATACCACGTAAGTTATAACAATAAATAATGTTTATTATTTTTATAATAATTACTATTTTTATTATAAATTATGTTGCTAGCTTCAAACATCTTTTGATAATTCATTTATGTTTTTTTTTTCTTTTTTGTGACTATTTTCCAAACAAATCTGGGGTTTGTTTTTTGAAAAGCAAAAGTAAACTATTACTTTCAATTGATAATGTCAGGTTCAACTATGATCCTTCTGTCAAAGTCCCACCTCAGCAGCTGGGAAACCAGGACGTGTCTGGTGCCAACAGATACAAGTTTTTTAGGAGACCCATTATACCATTCCTTCAACAGGTGCCACCAGAGGTGATCTTAGCAACAGCAAGGTAGGCTGTGGATTTCATATATTTTTATTTCACGTTTTAGAAAAACTTTATTTTCTTGTTTTGTTCTGATTCTTTTGATACATTGGATATGAACTAATTTCTATCAAATGCAGTGCAATGCAACACAATAAAATGAAGCATGCATTTATATTACCTAGAATGTTATTTATGGCTTGTTCTTTTTCTCAAACATCTAGTATATTGTGTCATTGACTTGATATTTTTATCTGTGCTACTCAGTTTTATGACAATCACAGTATCCCTTATGAAGTCACCTTCTGGATAGTGAGGATTTTCTGATATTTCCAGTCCAGCAATTGAGAATCAGGAAAATTTTTGTTAACTTTTCTTAGTACTTGAACATTCCGTCTCTTTTGTCCCTCCAGGCAAGACCCTCTGGCTGGAGCTGAGAGGGCAGATCGTCCACCTACTCCTCTGACCAAGACTACCTACACACAGACCGACTACAGGGACAGCGAGGCCCAGACTGACCCTTATACACCTGAGTATGTTGTACGTCCAGGGTCAGCCCCGGAACTCCTTACCTTAGCTACCCTGTCACATGGTAAGTGATGACCCAGCTATTAACTCTGACTGGTGATAAAATTAAGCTTATATTGAGGGGAATCTAATTTTTCTGTTGAAAGATGGTCAAAAATGGAGTGTGGATCAACAAAGATAATTTGAAAGATTTGGAAAATATCTATGGATCCACCCCTGTAAATTATGGAATGCTATTCATACTAGTATTCATCACGGAGAATAAGGAGAAAAATCCACATGCACATGGTATTAATTAGTGAATAAGGCCGATGGATATCTGTATTAATTACCAAGTAATATGAATTGGTTTTCAAGTATTGAAAAGGCGTGCAGTTTTGATGTTTGAGAGATTGAGAAGCACTATGTTTCATTTTATGTTCAGATGATGCTAAATTTGAAAAAAAAATGTACTGGTACTAGGTAGTTGTCTTTGTTTTTGAAGGTAGTGAAATATCACTTAACTATCCAGGTGCAGTCTTCAAAAAATCCTCAAACTTATATCTTCTGTTTATGTTATATTTATTTTACATACCTTAAAGAAAAACCACAATAATTTCCTCCTTTTGCTGTGTTTAGGGAAGGGTTTGCCAGCAGGTTTGGCTGAGGTGGAGATGATAGAGAGAGCTAGAGCTAAGCGGGCATGGGAGGCCACACTGCCGCCCCTCAGCGATGTCTCTCAGCTGGAGACCAGGAGAAAGATGATGGATGAAATGGAGAGAAAAGAGTGGGCTCTGCGAGAACAGGAGATTGAAAAGTAAGGAGTATCGAGTTTAGTTTTACTAGTGATATGTTTCTTCAGCTGTGTTATATGTTTTGTTGTAGTAACATCTATTTTGTAAATGTTATAATTGTAGATGAAATCAGAGGTACCTTTGCACTCCAGTATTTTGGCATTTATCAGGTCTCCTTATTACTAACTTGTGTTTTAAGAGACTGTTATTGTAACTAAGGACTATATATATTGTTGAAAATGTGAAAGTGTTATTTTTGATGATATTTTGTTCAGTTTAGAGGGCTATGTGGAATAAGAAATTGCTCAAAGAAGATAAAGCCTGTTCAGGCAAATTACTAGGTCACCTTGTTACATCTAAATGCAATATATGTGCAGAGTAGTACATGTTTGATCTGCATTGGAATACTTGGACATAAAAAGTTAGATTAATATTTAAAGAATGTGAAATATATTAATTTTATAAGATATCCAGACCTACAATAACTGACTTAAAAGAAAAACATTCTTTGTTCTAGATTACAAGAAGCCAGACTAGAGGTCTTACAGTCTCTGTTAAAAGAGAGAGAGGAAAACCACCAGCAGCTGAATACCAAGAGACTGGACAAGATGTGGGGGAAGAAACAGGAGGAGAAGGAGAGAAGAGTCAAATATATCAGGAATGAACACATCAAAGGTGGGTTCATTTATCAGTAATGATGGAATTCGTAAATAAAACTTAAATTAAAAAATGTAGTTTACCTGTAATATAATTGATTATATGACTTAATCCCTTACCCATGTTATAAGAAAAGAATACAACTTGACATTATAGAAACATTTTCAGCATTATTATTTACTTTGTCAAAATTTCATATACTAAGCACTGCTCTGATCTAATAATAATGATAATAAATAGTTTCTTGATGCATTCTATTAAAATTTCAATGCACTGAGTAAAAAAAACTTAAAAGAATAGAATATTATATGTTTTGAGTAAATGAAATAATTTAAATTAAAACATTTTAGCCTGTCCTATATTTAACAACAAGTTATTCCAAAGCTTTCAAGCATATATAATAAATGGACATAATATATTATGTGACTGATATTTTAGCCATCAGAAAGCTGACAGAGAAGAGGCGAACGGTTGAAGGAAAACTAGAGCGGCGTGATCTGACTCAGGAGTACTCCAATCCCGGCTCCCAGACGTACGCACCCAAGACGAGGATTGGGGTTTTCTTGGATAGGGGCTCTGAACAGTTTGTGGTGAAGAGCCGTTACTTGGATTCTTATCAGGGTGAGGGGCAGTCGCTAAAGTTTGCATGAAGAACTTGTAAGAATATGAAAGAGATAACAAATTTATGATTTTATCATGTTTCAGGGACTATTGTGTGCATGTACTAGTAATGTCATAAATGCATGAGGTAGTCTGCATATTAACGGTGCAGTGAGCAGATTGAGATATGAGTGAAAGAAAATATAGGGGTATTGGAAATCCATCTTATTTTGAATTTCATAAAAAAGTAAACTGGATGTTTTTTTTTCAGTTAGTAGGAAAAATTATGATGTTTATACCCTCACACAATATTGGCATTTGTTGTAGAGTCATCATTTACTACTTACATGGATTTAAGTCAAATATTATTTTGTTCTCTTTTCCAGGTCTGCTGGAACTGGAACATTCCCTGCCAGATTTTGTGACCCAGCCCAGAATTAAGGCTCCCAAGCCTAAGACGGTCACCAAGGCAGGATTTGTGAAGAGAAAGTACAGGCAGGAGAACCAGCTGAGACAAGTCCATGAGGTAGGAGATGAACTGAAGATTCTGAGAATCTTTTTAAATCTTTAGATTCTTTAGATTCTGAGAATCTTTAGATAAAAGATACATGTTTAATAATCATATAGTAATAGGTGGTTTGGTTTGGTGGTGGTAGAGGTTTGGGGAAGCTAATGCTGAACTATACACTGGATGGTAAAACTGAACAGGCGTCTGTTCTAATATTTAGTTTATATATATTTTTTTACATAATCAAGATTTACTTTGCAAAGTTCATAATGAGGGACAGCATTTTCATTCTTCCATAAAACATTTTATGATAAGTGACAACTAAATGATTACAAAAAAAAGAAAAACAAAAATGAAATGAAAATTGGAAAAAAAAAGTATATGTATTAACACTGCTCAACAACAAAAATTATTATTTCCAGCAACTGAAGGAGGAAAAGACCCGAGGAGAGGAGCCACCCAAACCACTCCGCTTCCTCCAGAAGATAGAGAAGCCCATCCCACGCCCACCCACACCCACTGTGGAGACACCCCCTGAGGAAGAGGAAGAGAGAGAACTGGCAGTTATCTATCTACAGCAGATTATTAGAGGCAGGGCCACACAGAACATGGTAAGACTTTGTGGATTAATATTATCAGGAGTCTCGGGCTTAAATCACTCACTCCACAGAAAATGGCATTAATTTAAACTGAGCCAATAAAATTTTGTAAATGTATCTAGTAACTGACTGGTTTTACGCTAAAGGTCAATAGATTCTTATATCCTGGTATCCAAAAGGGTCAACAGGCTGTAATTGACAAAGATTGTAGTTAAATGGATAAATATGCACTAAGTGGAAATTACTACTGACTTGCAAACCACATAACAACTTTGTAGTCGGTTTGATCAATTTTCGTAGTTATCCTTCATTAAGAAGAAGAGGTGTAATCTTTTGAGTAATACTGATGTAGTAAACAGATGACTATTGCAAATTTAAGCTTCTTTTCAGGATCATTTTCTGCACAGCTTAGTGGATTCATTGTTTTTCTTCCAGATGTTTGAAGGCAAGGAGAAACGTATGGAGCTGATCAAGGAGCTGAGAAGCACACATGCCCTGCAGGAGGCTGAGCAATCCCTGAAGAAGGCTGAGAAACAACAGACATTGGCCATGCAGAGACAGCGCAGGCTTCATGAACATAGGGTAAGATACTGCAATCTGCAACATTTACAGACCGGCCAGTAAAATTTGAGAAATTTGTTCGATTTCTGGTCATTGTTGTTGCTTCAGGCAAGGGTTTGTAGAAAATTCCGACAAAAAAGGTTTCTAGAAAATTGTGGCTCAGAGGGCCAGTTGACAAAAAAGATTATGGCACAGACTGATATAAGAATGTTTATATCATACATTTTTCCTGTGGCAATTTCTGCATATTTATGTGACCTGCTGTTATTAATGTTTTTAAATTATTGTACATTAACTGAAAAATTAATCTGGATTGTAAATCTGCATAATGTGTAATGTATTAATTATGACTTGCCAATGCATTTTGAAATTATGACTAACAGAAATATTGATATTGTGTTTACATGCAAAAACAGCAAAGGCAAGGGATTCAAGACAGGAAATAGTCATTTCATTTTAAAAACACAGAGGGAGATTTTTTAGATATTTTGATATTTTTCTCATGAATATTGGGAATTTTTTTTACATTCACAGGAGTCGTACATTGATGAATCCCTCAGCAACATGGAAGCCAACAGTATTGGCGACATGCTGGATTTCCTTGGCAAGGAGCTGATACGCCTGCAGGAAGAGAGGCGAGTCCATGCCTTCTCCATGCTGGCAGAGAGGCGCCGGAGAATCAGGGAGGCGGAGGAGTCGGGACGCAGACAGGTGGAGGAGAGGAGGAGACGGGAGGAGGATGAGACATTCAAACAGGTACTTGTGTGTGTCTGAGATATAAAGACAGATACGTAGAGAAGTCTGCCAACAAAATCACAATGGTAATTGTAATGATGTTTATTCAGTCAATGAAATATTTATAGAGTGCACATTTTTATTATTAAGAATTATAATAAATATTTGTCGCTGTGCCAGGTGTAGATTCTGAATTAGTTGAACTGTTATTTGTGAAAGCTACATTTAAGATTTTAACAATAATTTTAGAGTTTAAGAATATGTTCTATGGATGTTATCAGTTTACTTAGTCCCTGCACTTTTAATTAATGTTTATATTGTCCTATATGGTATGACAGTAAACCTGTCATCTTATTATTATATTTATTATTATCGTCATAGTAAACTGCTCTAGTAATTCATGTTTATATTGTTCAGTCAGTAACAACTATTACAGTAAAATAGAAATCCTCCTTTCATATTATTTTTACCACTGTTATTGTTTTTGTTGTTGTTGTTGTTATCATAGTAAAGACCTTTCCTGTTCTCTCCAGGTTGTGAAGACCCACCAGTGTACAGTGGACACATACCTGGAGAATGTGATCCTCAGCTCCATTGATGCCACGGCAGACCATCAGGCCAGGCAGGAGATCAGGCAGATGGCCGATCAGATCAATGATATTGCTTACGAAATTGAGACCAGGTAATTATTGATGCCCGATATGGTGGCTGAAAAATACTATTTGAAGGAAAATTTGATGTAACAGTTTAAAATCCTTTTAGTCCTTCTAATTCCTTTTAAATGGAAGTTGAAATGCTATCTGACTTTTCTGGTGTGTAGTATTTTGGAATAGGTGAGGACAATTTTGTTTAGAACAGAATAGACCTGAATACTTATTATTTTTCAATGCCATTAATGCATATTGAATTTGGCCATTAACATAAAGTATTCAAAATGAAGACTGAGATATGAAGTAAAACTATGACTATGAAGACTGAGTGTCAACCTGTTCAATTACAGCCGCACCAGACTCCAGTCTGAGGAGATTGCTGCAGAACTTGTACACAGCTTCCTGCTGCCTGAGGTCCAGAAACAGAACATGAGGGAAAAAGGTATGGTTTTTACAAAATAATTTCAAATGCCTCTCTTTGTGATATTTTATTATTTCAAGATGTATCATTTTCAGACATTCACAACAGTGTTCTCACTGACTCAAAATAAGGTGTCTTTTTGAAATTTTAAAACTACATGTAACATTTTTCAGGGGGGGGGGAGGTTATGACCATAAGAACAGCACTCTGTACCTGAATTTTTTTTAAACAGCTAAACGAACTCTTTAAAAGGGATAATATCAGATTTAAAACATGTCTTAAAAACAAAATTTGATTTTATTTTAATAATCAACAAAAAAAATGCCTGTGTGAAGTTGTCAATTTCTTTTTATTAATCACCAGTTAAAAGACAGCAGAGGAAATACTTGCTGGCAGCACACAAGGAAATACACAGGGACTCGGAAGACATCATCAAATTATTCCCCAAACAAACACCAGCAGCTAGTCGTGAGCCAACTACCACTTCACAGGGGGCAGCACCAGCACAGAAATCACCCACGCCAAGGACGTCACAAGATGGCCGCCCGCCCTCTGGAAAGTCGAAGTCAAGGTCAGGTTCAAGGCCAAGCTCAAGACCTACTTCTGCTGCATCTGGGAGGAAGGTGGGTGTTCTGTTTTAGTGTTCATTAAATATTTTTCTAAGAATATTAATTGACATTGGAAATTGCAACCCATAGCAAGAAATTTTATAGGATTGTAGTAAAAAGATTCTGCTTACCAAGGTAGATTAAGATATAATTATCAGTTCTTAACAATAGATTCACTATGAATCTTAAATCATTGTAAAGGCACAGTGACATTTATGGAATGTGTCATAGAATAAGGACCATAATAATATAATAATAATATAGTATAATTATTATTAAAATCCCTAGAGGCTTTTAGCACATATTGACTTGAATTACCGTAAGTATATTTATTTTTATTTATTATTTTGATTTATGTTTTCAGACTCCCAAAAAACAGGATTCTAAGGAAGATTTGGGAGGTTTGGTGGTGGAGGGAAAATCTTCATCTCGGCCAGGGTCGAAAGATAAGGTATGTGTGTGTACAAGATTAATTTCAGTATTATTATCATGTAGTGTTTTAATTTGTTTCAAAATATAATCTGTATGTTAATTGGCTTTTTGTGTAATAGTGATGAAAAATGATTTTTATGAATCACTGGTACCTTTTTCATAACATAATTGTGATGTTTTTGGATGGTATTCTGATATTTTTTAAAATATCTATATATTAATTTTTTTATTCATTTATTTACTTTTCAGTGAAAGGAATAGGACTTCAAGTGATTGCAGTTAAAGGAATCATTCACATTTGCTTGGAACTGTCTGTGATAAATATGGAAAATTGGGAATAAAATTAAAATAGATTCAGTCCTCAAGCTGCTCAACCTTTACCATGCCAGATTGCATTAGAAATATCCGTCCAAGCAAGAAAGGTTTTATAATGTTTCTACAGTTATTGATATGTTACCTGGAAGTATTTGGAATTGTGACCTACAAGGTTAACCACAGGAATAACTGGAAGAGTTTAAGCACATGTTCTCCCTTAAAAAGAAAGCTATTTTTTTTACTTGATATAACTCAATAACAATACTGCTTCAGTTTTGATTGTATTCAAAATGATAACATAGAAATATGCCAGAACAGGACATTTCAGGAACTCTACTTCAAGTAACATTAATTTTTTGCTGTACACATTTGATGGGGTCAAATGGAATTATATTATTGCTTTTATGAAGACTTTCACATTTCATTTGAAATATGTGAAAAAAAAAATAATAACCGTCCTTGTTACATGTACAGCTGGTCTAAGTCTGTATATATATGTATGCATTTTAATCATTGTGAATTGTATATTCCCATTGTCCATTTAAATATAATAAAATAATGTCAGAATAATTTGGTCTTCCTTCATTTCAAAATACAAGATATATTCATCGTTTTACCACAACTTTGCTTAATTCACTTGTCCAAATTACAATCACCATGTACCATTAAAAAACAAGATAGTAACACAACATTTTGAAAAGGTTTTAATTAATGCATTTATTGAAGTGTCCTTTTTTCTTTCAAGTAAAAGGATGGTATAAAACATTTTATATTTCTTTTATATGAAAAAATATCTCTATAACAGCTCTTCAAAAAAAAAAAAATGCCCCACAAGCACTGGATAATATACAGACCAATTTGCTGCCCCCCTGGAAGATTGCCTCGGCATAATATTTAACTACTACCTACCACTACTTCAATACACAAGGCCTCATAAAAATGGTATTTAATGATAGTTTGTTATACCACATTAAGGCTTTCAATGCTAAACTCCCTATCACAACTCATTTCCCTTTTTTTTTATTTTGACCATTTCTGTAAGGTTCCATTCACAACAGTGGACTAACACATCCACGGATCAAATATGGCCGACCCACTTAAATGCTTGTTGCACAATTCTGAAAAATCTATTCAGTGTCTCCTAGAGGATTTTGCGGCAAGCTTTTCAGTTGATCAGCAGTTCTGTTGGACCACCGTTTTGAATGCGGTCTTAGTTGACTGGTTAAATGCTCAAGGTTTGACCCTGTCATCAGCTCATCACCCGAGTTTCAGATGCCCCTGGAAATGCACTCCTGCTATCAGCATGCCTGTGTTGTGTCTGGTATCCACAGCATGCTGACAGAAGAAAAGTGACCTCTGAAACTCAGGGGTGCAGCTCTTGAGTCTCACCTTTAAGCTGTTTTGGAATTTTTGAAAGGGAAACCTATCTGGTATGAAAAGACATTAGTGCTATTAACATAAACTGGTTTGGTATAAATGCAATAAATTACTCTAAAATCTACATCATGCAAACAGGCTACACAAGTTACATTTTCACATGAAAAAAAATATTTAAAATGAGATTTAAGAGCTGTAAATCAAAACGGTAAACAAAGTAAATGGTGTTCTGAAACCACAAAACAAATAAACAATACAGACACAATCTTCCCACCCTGTCTATATAATACTGATCAATGAGCCTGGGATCTATCCCACCTTGCCCATATTGTAGGATTACAGCAAGGTCCAACAGAAATTCCACCTGTGACTCAACAATCTGGTACAGATGGGATAATGGTAAACTGAGAAATCTTTAAGTAATAACTGCTAACAAAATAGTTCTACTCGATATCCAGCCTAATTAACACTGAAGCAGTTTGTGCCATCACCCCTTCTGCACGGAGTCCCCATTGCGCTTCAGACATTTAAAAAAAATGTGAAGTCTAAGGTCATTTATATATTTTTGTCCATTATATTTTTATCTTGAAAATTAATCCCCTTTTCATACCATTGTAGTTACATAGCAGGCTTGTCTTTCACTGCCAACTGGCAAAATAAATTTCTCCATCCCAGACTAATAATGTATGATCAGCTTCTGTTTACCAAAATATCAAAACCTAAAACAATGCAAAGTACTATTACATAATTAAGAATACAAAAGCTCCCTTTTTCACTAAGGGCCTCAATACACCCTATAACTGATTAAACAAACAAAAATGAACCCCCTCACTTTATAATCCACCATGTAGTTAAAAAAAGATTATAAAATTGTGACCACCCCATTTCGCATATCAAATAATGATTTCCTCTGAGTTTTTAGCATCAACTCTCCGATTCACAATTCATTTAACCATGCACCAACAGATGCGTCTTCATATTACTTTTCCTTCTGAAAACCAGTGTTAAATTAAGTTTAGACTTGTAGCACCTATGAAGTTTGAAGCTTTGACGTGAGATTGGTTAAAGTTGCCTTTGGTAATCTATTCAGTACAGCTGGTCTTCTTTGGGAACACTAAGAACAGTGTATAGTGGTTGAAACATAGGTCGCATTCACAGCAGCAGACTAACTAGTTCGCTGATCAAATACAGCGACCACCCTAAAAACCCCTTATCCCCTAATAGGCACTGTATATATTCCCTGCGGGGATTATGCAACAAGTATTCAAGTGGGTCAGCCATATTCGATCCCCTGACTAGTTAGTATGCCTTTGTAAATGCAGCCATATTCATCTTAAGCTAGTTTACAACCTTTCTGCTGAGCACCATTGTGATGGTTTTAAGCTGGAAGATGACCAGCATTAAAGAACTAAAACAGGTCTATACGTATATATAATTTACAGTTTTTCTACCTCTAAATATATTTGCACACTGCAACTCTCAATGTCACAATTCTAACGTGTGCTGTGACACAAATCTACATGTAGCAGTGGGTCTTTTTTGATTCATCCACTTCTTTCATACAAACACTATACATTGCATAGACTGATGTGGTGGGATCCGAGGTACCGATGACATCCAGGTGATTTTGTTAAAAACCTCTAATTTCCAGGAAATATTTCACAGATGCAGATTACCGTCATACAACATGATCCTTGCACAGAGTATCACATGATTTTACAACCCAGTATATACTGTTTGCTTTACAATATTCCTTCTCCAATTCTGTCCATAGGCAAGATGACCTAGTATACAACACATGAAAATCTTTGTCTCAGTACAATTTTCTTCCTCTCCCACTTACTAAAGAATTCTAGTTCTTAGGTTCATAGGCACTAAAGCCAGATACCAAATAATTCTTCCTTACTTGGTCACCTCCTCAAGAAAGCCTTTAGATGACCCACTAGGTCCCAATGAACATTGAGCACTATTATCTACCTTCCAAATCTTTCAAAGGCACAAATTCATCTTCACTGAAGATTTTATCTTTTCAAATCACAGTCATCCATATAAATGTCTTCCAACATTACATCCAACATGTCTTGTGTTATTCTCTGGTTTTTCAGGTATTTATTATAACCAGGTATCACCCATATCTTTTTCCCCCAACTTCATTTTCCTCCTCAGTCATCCCCGACCAAGTCTGAATCATCGTCACTATTCTCCATGCCCAGGTCGCTACTCTGTAACGCCCCTTCCTCCTCATTGTCTTTCTCGTCCTGTTCCCCGTTTTGGACCATGAGAGTGGGGCTGTTGGCACCCGTAGGCTGGGCCTCACTTAACATGGGGTTCACGTGAGACGTCTGTAACGCTGAGGTCTGCAGAGCTTCCAGAGTGACCGCCTGGGTGCTGATGAGCTGACCGTCTGATGAGAAGTCTGAAATGTGAAAGAGGCTGTTACTGCAAGTGATATGTTGTATTAAGACAGGGACGCATAAAATCCCATCAACACAGAAACTAACAACTCTGCATTTTAGGGATACCGTGATGGGGGGAAAAAAACAACCAATTAATACAAAAGGTAAGTTTCAGAATAGTACAGAAAACCCATATTTTTCAGAAGGGAAAAGCTTTCTAAAATAAATGGTCAAAAAATTTATAAGGATCTTGCCAATTTTAAGCAGAGACTGGTTGGCGGGTGTTTTCCTTTTCTTTTCCCCATGCCCACTGAAGCTAAAACTAAATAAAATTTAGTAAGAAACCCCTCGGAGATAGATCGATCCTGTTGGTACAACAGGGTACGACAATGGTCTGACAGTTAAACCGCTTAAACCGAATGCAATTTAGCGAGCATCCCCTCAGAGTTAGAACAATCCTGCTAGTACAAAACAGGTTTATGGGAACCCAGTCCTAGATATATTTAGCTATGTGGAGGTCATAGTTCCCACTTACAAGGTACGACAGTGATGGTACCCGGGGTTGGACCAGCTGTGCTCCCAGTACTGGTCTGCTGCTGTTGTTGTTGTTGTTGCTGTTGTTGTAATGATGACACTTGCTGTGGTTGAGGCTGAAGATTTGCTATACTATCTGGCCAGAACCGCTGGACAGGGCGGTTGTTCTGAGGCTTGTTTTTCTTGGCTTTGCTACCCTCTGGATTGGAGGCATCCAACATGGGTTGAAGTATCCGTCTTCTGGCATTGATAAACCTACGAACAAAACACCAAAAGATTGCCATATACAGAAGTGAAAATTAAAATTTAGAAACAGTAAAACAACCATACTTGAAACTTAAGGATTTATTTACATTCCTCCCCCCCCCCCCCCAAAAAAAGGGGGATGATGGCATTATGCAAATAAATGAATTTAGAAGGCAATATGGTCCAAGCTGGTTGGTCTCCTGCTTCAATTATTGTATTAAAGAAATAATTACTGAATTTTCTTTTCAATCTCAATTATCATCTAAAGGCCACTCACCAGTTATTAACTTGCAATAAAGTGAGATTTGTTTGTCCTGCTATCTGCCTTTTTTCATCTTCAGTGGGATATGGATGCTAAAAGATAACAACACAATTTGTGTGCACCAAAAAATAGCAATCATGAGAGTATGCAATTAAATCATTCTAATAAAGTATATCACATAACATAATCAATGTTTCTCTAATAGTTGCATCAAATGTCAGTAAAATTTAAAATATAAACTTGTCTGAATCATTCCCTTTGACTCTCTAGTCATATCAGCTCCAATGTTTAATTCAACTGAGCCATAACTGATTTATCTTGAGTCAAAACAGACTAAATTTTTGGTCTGAAAGGTTAGACCAACCTAGGGGCTTAGGTCCCGTGGTGAAGCAACCCCCAAGCCCCAGTTTCAAAAAAAAAAAAAAAAAAAAAAA